AAGCATCAAATACACTGCAAAAGCAAGTAAAATCACTTTGGCACACTAAATTTAAAGCCAGACTGTACTCAGTTCCTCCACACTCCTCTCTAGCATGAGTTTTGTCCTAGAAAGCTAATACCCAGCACAGGATGAAGAAAGACAGAAAAAGACCACAGTGCCTGAAAAGCACTGCTAGATCAAGACCTCAGGGTAGCTCACTAGTCCCCTTGGAAGAGAACTGGGATTCACCAGGCATTACACTTCTCCCACTTCTACACCTGATGTTGCCTGAGTCTGAGGAAGCCTAGTTGTTCTGACAATTTATTTCTTGCCTGCAGAAAATTGGGCCACGTGTACAAAACACACTTCCAGCAGTCGTGATTTTATTTTTCACCACCTTCAACCAGTACACATATGGATGTTACATGGAAGGATGCAACATAGCACTCCTTGGACCAAACCTTGCAAAGCATTGCTGCAAAATAATGAGACAGCTGTGCTGAAGCATCATTAAAGATGTTTCTGAAAGCACTCTGTCATGCATGTCCTAGCAGGTGAAGAAGGGAGGAGATGCTCCACAAAGAGTTTTGGCAACAAATGCCACCGTAAGTCAAAGGTATGTGAAAAAGAGAAAACATGAGAGAAATTTTTTCCTGTCACCCCAGATGCTTGCCTGCCCGCAACCCATAACACCACTTTAGTCATCAGTCCTGGCCATCAACAAATACTCAAACAGGCTGCTGGCATAAATCCAGAGCACACCAACAGCTTGGAGCTCTGTAGCCTTTGCTGCATTTTCTGGGTCCATCATTGACTCCAAAGGGTTCTGGAAGCAACTAGAGTAGGGTATCTTGCTCTTTGCATTTCTGTTGTGCCTGGCAAGATCATGGAGCGGATCCTTCTGGAAACGATGGTAAGGCACATGAAAAATAAGAGGTGACTGGTGACAGCCAGCACGGCTTCACTAAGGGCAAATCGTGCCTGACAAATTTCATGGCTGTCTATGATGGGGTTACTGCGCTGGTGGATAAGGGAAGAGCAACTGACGTCACCTGCCTGGACTTGTGCAGAGCAACTGATGTCACCTGCCTGGACTTGTGCAAAGCATTTGACACTGTCCCGCACAACATCCTTGTCTCCACACTGGAAAGACATAGATTTGACAGATGGACCACTTGGTGGTAAGGAATTGGCTGCACAGTCCCACTCCAAGAGTTGTGGTCAATGGCTCGCTGTCCAAATGGGACACCAGTGACCACTGGCATTCCTCAGGAGTCAGTACTGGGGCCGGTGCTGTTTAACATCTTTGTTGGCAACATGGACAGTGGGACTGAGTGCACCCTCAGCAAGTCCGCTGACAACACCAAGCTGTATAGCGCGGTTGACACTGGAGGGATGGGATGCCATCCAGAAGGACCTGGACAAGGTCAAGAAGTAGGCCTGTCTGAACCTCACGAGGTTCAACAGGGCCAAGTGCAAGGTCCTGCACGTGGGTTAGGGCAATCCCAAGCACAAGCACAGGCTGGGCGGAGAATGGATTGAGAGCAGCCCTGAGGAGCAGGACTTGGTTGACAAAAAGCTCAACAAGACCCGGCAACGTGGGCTCACAGCCCAGAAGGCCAACTGTGCCCTGGGTTGCATTCCCAGCAGCGTGGCCAGCAGGGCGAGGGAGGGGATTCTGCCCCTCTGGTCCGCTCTGGTGAGAACCCACCTGGAGTCCTGTGTCCAGCTCTGGAGCGCTCAGTACAGGAAAGACATGGCCCTGTTGGAGTGGGTCTAGAGGAGGCCACAAAGGTGATCCAAGGGCTGGAGCACCTCTCCAATGAGGAAAGGCTGAGAGAGTTGGGGCTGTTCAGCCTGGATAAGAGAAGGCTGCAGGGGCATCTTATAGCACCCTTTCAGTACTTCAAGTGGGCCTATAAGAAAGCTGGAGAGGGACTTTTTACAATGACATGGAGTGACAGGACCAGGGGTAATGGCTTTAAATGGAAAGAGGGTAGATTTAGACTCGATATAAGGAAGAAACTCTTTACTGTGAGGGTGCTGAGGCACCAGAAGAGGTTGTCCGGAGAAGCTGTGGCTGCCCGCTCCCTGGAATTGTTCTAGGCCAGGCTGGACGAGCAACCTGGTCCAGCAGAAGGTGTCCCTGCCCATGGCAGGGGGGTTGGAACTAGATGACCTTTAAGGTCCCTTCCAACTTAAACTGTTCTATCATTCTACAATTCTAGTTAACAACTGTCAGCAGCTAGCAGCATTGCAGCTAGCAGCATCAGTCCTCATGGACCAGGTGCTGAATGGTCCATACATTGCTCAAAGCAGTGGCACACGCCAGCTGAATGTGGAACAAAACTGGTCTCATTTTGCTCTTACATGTGAACTAAGGCTGAGCGAGAGCCTCCTGCAGGCTCCTTTCACTGATGCTGGCTGCAAGCAATGCTGCAAAGGTGGAGCGTATTAGTCTCCTAATTAATTGCTTATGTGTTTAACAAAATGTAATATATCAAAGCTTCATAAACATTTGGTGACAAATGCCAGACTGTAATGATACCTCTTATAATACAATAAAGAACCATCCAGAAAGCTGCCTGCATTATTCGGGAGAGGGACTCAGATTTGATAAGTGGCTAAAAATTAGTTTAATGATTCCCTATTTAGCCATTAAATCTACTTGTAATGTGACATTGTGTTTCTAATTAGGGACTGAAAATGTTGATTTAACATTTCTGTCATTACAGATTAGACATCACGTGCTATTTCTGTATTATTAAAAAGTTCATATTCTGAATATAAAAAGTAATTTGTAGAGTCAGGCTTAGGGTTTAAGTTTTTATAATGAGCTATTCATCTTCAGGTCAGGTTTCATAATAAGTAACTGCTACAAGTCTGTTGAGTGTGAGGAAAATGAAATGGAAAAAACGGAAATGCGAATAACTGCTGCAATTATAAGTGTCACATTTGTACAGACTGAAGCATAATGGCATTTAAAATGTCCAAACTGTTTGGGACACCTCTTTTCCACCACTGCCATCACAACTTCTTTGAACGCACACTGCATACTGAGCGGCTAGCAAATATCTACTGGCAGGGCATCTGACATGACAACCAAGGCTCAGCATCTTTTTCTTGAGAGCAAATACCTCATAACTTTTAATCATAGGACCACACTCCATGCAAGACAGTGGGGGAGGCAGCACATTCTGGGGAACAGGCTTACGATAGTATTTACTGACCACCTCTTTTCCTACCCATGATCACCTAACATGTTTGCTGCTATTTTGTTTTTGCATGGAAACATGTTATCATGAAAGCAGGCAACATTATTTTCAGCTGTCCTGCATGCACCTTTAGCAATTGCAGCAAAGTGTCACACAGCTAACCAACTCTCCTGTTTGCTTCAAGGCTACAAGAATAGGGCCCATCCTAACCCAAGCAATCCAGCACAGGGCTTGGCGTCTGGGCTAGTACATCTAAAATGCACTTCCTTTAGTCTCAGAAGCATGGCAGTAGGAAAAGAAAAACACCTCCACTGTGCCTTAAAAATTACAGGGACTTTTCAGACCGAAAACATGCTATCAATCCTCTCGGCATTCCCAGCAGGAAATTAGATTTCCTGTTGTTTAACACTACAGTGCTTGACATAAGTCTATGAATTTGCAGTTTCAGTGATGCTACATTAAACATCTATACTATGGACAAAGAGGGAAAGGAATACGCATTTTCATCAAGCGCAGCAGTGAGAACATCTTTTCCGATGCTACCTCTCTGCTTATGACTGATTTTTAATTTAAAATTGTGTTTTCATCAGCAAGGCAAGTATATGAAAGGACAAGGGAAGTACACTTATGGGGCAAAATATTCTTTTCTCTTCCTCCTGTAAAAAGATTTATTCTTATATTCATGTCAGTCTTGTCTACAGGAAGGACAATTTATATCTCTGTCATAGGCTGCCAGCAAGGCTCATCATTCATACATTTAGAGGACTAAAAACCTTCAGAGCTGTGTTTTTAAGCAATAAATTTTAGACATCTCATTCCTGATGGTGTTTATGTGGTTTCTTTGGATCTTCTTGCTGGTTTTGCCCCATTTTTAACCTTTTTTTCTCTAGCTGATGCAATAAAGTAGTGACCCATTTTCTCAGTATAAACTTTCTGTTCCACCTGAACTGAAATCAGAGCTAAGTGTTGCTTCCTAAGCCTATGAACCATTAGACTGTAAGCTCAGACAATTTACTTAAACAAGGTCTAGTCCTTGTGAATTAGCAAGATGGATATAAGTCTGAGGAAAAACGGGAAGATGAGTGTTGGGGTTGATGTAGCTTGAGAGTTAGCACGACTAGGCCGCTTAAGCAAAACAGTTAGCATAACTGAACAGGCCGCTGGAAAGGACAGCTAAGAATAGCCATTGAGAAAGTTCTGATAGTGCACATGATGTGGGTTAGCAAAAACACGATGTGTTCAAGGACGTGGAGGCAGCCTGTTGCTATTAGCGTTAGTGCATAGTTACCAATCATAAGGGAATACGGGGTGTGTGAACAGCGCGTGATTTATGTCTGTAGCCTATCCGAATAAGCGTGATCGCGTGTGCAGATATGAAAAATGTATATAACCACGCAAGCAGACCAATAAATCGAATCGACTGTGCATTGTACCAATGTGTGAGAGTCATTCCTGTCCGTGCACAGATGCTGAAACTCAGCAGATGAGCAATCACCGGCTGGTGATCTACACCTGCAGCTACTGCCTGTTCTTTACCAAATATCACAGGACTAGCTGGCAAATCAGGTTGAGACTAGTCTTGAAAACACAGCATCTACCTGTTCTTGCATGTTTGTACCTAAGATCTGGCTAACTCACGCAGGACTGTTTTCAGGAGGACTTGATGGCACTGAGTATGAAGATGGATATTCATGCTATCCAGTAAGAAAGTGTTCTTCCTTACAAGAAGGCCAACAAATGACTTAATTCCTGCAGGGCAGAGCTGCTTTCTATGTAGGCTTGGCAACTGAATGCTGCACTCACCTCAACAAAGATGAAGCAGGGGATGATGGAGTAACTTCTCTGGGTATTGTTTCCTAAAGCCATTTCTCATCACTCTTCTTGGGGAGGCACTGTTCAAAACTTCACCATCCTGAAAAAGAAAAAACAAAGGTGTTTCAGTATGTTTTCTTTTTTTTCGAACTCCACATTTAACACAATGAGGTTTGTAACATGGAGCACTGACATATTCGACCAGGGATACAGACTAAAAAGAACATCAAAGTCTTAACTTGTGGTCATACAAAATAACCTAAGAATGCATTCTCTTTGCAGCCCAAAGGCAAGAGACAGACACAGGTTACAAGATACATCATCTACAGAGCAAAGAACAATGAGGAATACAACTGTTTCCTTAATTACAATCCACTCCCAAGCAAAGACTTATTCCCCAGGACTGCAAAATCATTTTCAGCCCACTGTCCTGCCTACAGTATGTTTTAAATCAAGCAGTTTTGGTAATTGACTTGTGAACTTGTACTTTAAAAGATACACTTACAGTATATTAATTGTACACGTAATCAAAATGTTTATCTGCATGAAGTCTCACCTGCTCAAGATGACAGCACGTCTTATGCACAAAAAAATCCTAACAAGCAAATATAACAAAAATGCAATGAAGGACTTGGCCCTTGTTGCAGAGCCTTTCTAGCCTGCTATAAATTCGTCCATTAACCCACAAAACCCTACCTGCTTAGCATTACTTCAGGCTACTGACTATTCTAATTAACCTTATGATGCTCTGGGCTAAGACACTTCATCTTTTTACAGCACAAAAAGTATGAAAGGAGAGAACAGAATACTAACATGGAGAATTTTTACTGTGAGTGCATGCACTTTTCTGTACACGTGAGGTAACACATCAAGAAGCTAAGTCTGGTTTAAATGATTTTAGAGCGAGGAATAGGCTAGCAGGGAAAATGGGGCTGGAAAAGCAGCGTGTACTCCAGAGCTGCCAGGTGCATGCTTGCACAGAGCATGAGACACAGAAGAGAATGGAAATCCTTCGCTATCAATTTTAATGTAAGCACATCAAGCAAGAGCACAGATTTAGGTGGGCCTGACCTCACTTCCAACACTCATGCAGAACACCTGCTCTGATCATCAGCATCTCCAAAGACCAGGGCCAGGGCATGAAGGTGGTGAAAGCTGCTGTATTTTCCAGCGGATGCTTTGCACAACATCTTCCCCCAGCTCTTTGACCTCACTGGCATCTGGGTGGCAATTCAGGCCTTGGCATATGGAGCCTGTAAGGTTCATGACGGGGTCAGTGCTTTCTCACCAGCTCTCAGCAGGGTTACTACAAGAAATACTATTACCAGAGCACTGAGTTCAGCAGAGGTTATGAAGCCTGACTGAGGAGCTGGATCAGCTGGCAGTGCTTGCCACCTGCACCAGGATGCAGGCTCTTGGCTTGCCACCTATGAACTACTTAATGTAGTTCTTATCTCACCTCCTCACAATTTGACTCAGAGCTGTAAAATACACAAGGTACACAACAGTTTTGGTAATACGGTTCTAGGCACAGCAGAACTTTAGTGACTCCAGTGAAGCCACATCCTCTGTCAGAATGGCTTCCGAACTATTAACCATTAAAAAATGCAGTTCCAGGTCAAACAAAATACTCAGGAAATGATACCTGTGACACACTTCAGACACTCCTAACCTACACTGTAACACAGTTCCGAAATACAAATATTCTGAATTCAAATTACCTGTTTTTCCAAACATACTTCAGCTTTACTTATGAGATAAAATGGGCTTCATCTTAGAGGTTAGTGTCATTGTTATTCAAAAAAAAAAGACAAGCTAATCTAAACCCATTTTTACTGTGGAAAAAAATTCCACTCATTCATTTTTTAACAGCATTTTTCATACTGCCAACTCTTGTGCCATATGGCTCTCCCTTTAACTTGGCAAACATTGTGCCTAGTAGAATACTAGGTTAAAGAGTTGAAGCAGCTTACAGAGCATTATTCCACTTAACTCTTCTTGTATCTGGAGATACAGTGTCAGCACCTTTTGCTGTAAATCCTGTTTTTCAAAAGGCTTAGTGCAAAGATGTTAATTCATCAGCACCTTCATGAATGCTTTTCCAGCTCAAACAAGAAATACCCAGTGTATTCCATAACACTGTCGTGTAACTTCAAGCTGTGCCTTCAGTTCCAATTGCTGTGATGGCTGTATGTTCCTAACCAAAGCAGAGGGCTGCAAGGCAACCCAAGAATATAAAAAACACTCTCAACAGATGACTGAAAGCAACTGCACAGACAAGCAAAGAAGCTGAGGGTTCTCAGTAGTCATATAAAATTGCCCAATTTAATGCTAGGGGGCTTTTGATGTCATAAATATGTATCACTATATCTGTTCTTTCAAGCTTATTGCGCACCACTGGTTTAAAAAAAACTGCACTGCCTATGGGAAAGCATTTTACACGTCAGCTTCTCCCCTATGTGATGACACATTTGTGTCAGACATAAGTAGTAAGAGACCAAATAGCTGGCTGATCAAGCCAGCTAATTCCCAGACTGTGGGAAAACTCTCAGCTAGCCTGTCCTTGCCACAGCAGATCTTTTCACTGCCTCACTTGACAGAAGAGTAAAGGGGAGGAACAGCGTGATCTTGGTGGGAGGACCATCTTTTGTCTCTCTGCAGCTGGCAATGAGTCCTCTAGGGACACAGACAGCAAAACACACATCACAGCAATCCCTAGATGCTTCAGTCTGCGGAGCAGCCACAGATAACCCACTTTTCCCCAAAGAATTAGGGAATCATAATGAGACGTAAAACAAGTGTTCAGTGACAGTCCTGTTTTATAATCCATGAAGATCTCTCTGCATTGAGCAAATTTTCATAGTGCAAAGCCTCTGACCAAAGCAACAGCAAATTACAGCTACAGTATCAGCATCTGGTATTGCCTTCTCCATTCTTTATTTTTGTCATTTTGACTCAATTGTTAAGGAACTCAGGTTAGCAAAACTATAAGAGGCTTTTTAGATCCCACTAGCTGTAACCTTGTAAGGCCTGGTCTGTCAGCATTGCATCAAAGCAGAATTGGTCAAACCTATTCTAACTAATTAGGGACCACCATAGAGGGAATATTAACAATCTGGAGATCTGGTATTATGAGATGCTTCTACTCTTGAAACAATACATATAACTGTATAACACAACATTTGTGAATTAATTTGCATTAGTTAGTTCTCATCTTGTTCAATTTACCCCACATGCATTTTCAGAAAGCCCCTAAACTACAGCATAGGTGGTTATTGTCTGATATCTCCTGGGAGAACAAGCGAAGACATAGAATATACATAAGTGAATCGAAAATTAACTGAAAAGGACAGCAAAGAAAACAGAATTCAAGCTGAAGAGATTTTCTTGCCGCAGGGGTCCATCCAGGGGAAAATGAAGAATGAGAGTCAGAGTGGAGAAAAGAAGAATGTTCTAAAAAAAGGTATTTTCTTACAGGTTACTAACCAGCAGAAGAATTTCTAAAAGCCCCATTCAGGTATTTTCGAAAGCTTTTTATGTGAGTACGTGGCAGACAGTGAAAAGGACATATCTAGGACAAACCAGCATTTGCAGAGCCTTTGTAGTATAACTCCTGCAGCACACACAGTACAGCTGATCATTGTTCTGCTATCAGTGCTCAAACCAATTAATTTCTTGTCCGTTCCTCAGGAGAAAGTGGTCACCCTTATGTTTTATAAACTATGTCCTGCAGAGGTGAGAAGATCAACATTATGGCTTTACTTATTGCTACAGTGGACGTCTGGCCACCTGTGGAAAATATTAAAATCAACAATCCAGAAAACTTAAGAGGCAGCATTTATCATGATTTTAAACCCATGTTTCATTCAATCAGTACCAATGCATGTTTCTTTTGCCCTTAGCTCAGAGACTGCCAGCTTGAAATGCAGTAACTGCTGCGCAGACTAGGACAGTAGCACAGCCACTGCCACACGTGGGACAACACTTTGCTGCAGAATCCCAAATCTGCTCAGACCAGAGGTGAGGAGAGCAAGTACTGCTCATTTGGTACCAGGATGTGATGCAAGCACAAAAAAATGGATTGGATTTCCTGTCCCTCTTCATCTAGACAGTTTCATGATCTTTTCAGTCGCAGGTAACGTTCTGTTTCAAAATAAAATGTAAATGTTCTACCAGAAGGAACACACCTGTGGTATTTCTGTACCAATGTTAAAGACACTTCAAATGCAAGCATTCCCCCATTTGTAAATTAGTTTAATATTGCATTAACAATTTTCAACCCCCTTTTGGCAATTGTCTTCAAATTATAAAGATCTCCCCTCTCATTAAAACATGAATTCTATTTACTAGTTAAAAAAAAAAAATCACTAAAACTTCTGCATCAAGGATCAATTTGCCCACCTGAACCACAAAATTGCGTATGTCAAACCTCCATTCAATTAAGAAAACAAATTCAAACTAATGCCACTGCTGAAGATCATTATCCCAGCTTTTGCAAAGAACTGTATCATTATAACCATTATTTATTACACTAGCTCTTACAGATCCCATTGTAAAGCAGCCCTCTATTTCCTGTGGGGGAAACAGAGCCAGAAACAGTTGAAGCAATTTGCCAGACATCACACAATGACTCAATGTCTAGGCTGAAGAAAGACATATTATTCTCAGACTCCTGTCAAATGCTTTATCCACTTGACTATACAGCCTCTACACCTGAAATGTACTTGCTAATTCCTGCACAAGAACTACATAGCTTTTATTACACATTTAAGTAATAGAGGTTTCCCTTTGCTTGCTACTGAAACCGTGACAGAATGCACATCACAGCTCTGCACAAGAACCCATCAAACACACACAAAGACTTGACAGCCTCACAATATCCTCGCCATGCAACTTCACTCCTGCCATGTCCAATGGTCCCTCACTATCCCCACGCAACCCTGTCATGAACATGCATGTGATTTGGAACAGCTTGCAACAGGATAATAGTAGCTTAAAATGTCTTTCCCAAAGTTCTTTTCCACATAAACCTAACCAATGCATACAAAAGGGCCTAAGGACTGAAAGGTAAGGTTTTCCTGCAAAAGGCAGTCATGGCC